CCCATGGCAACTGGGTCTTGTGTGTTGGCTGTTTCTGGCTGGTGTCCTCACACGTTTGGCAACGATGCAAGCGAACGGCCTTGACAAAGTCCTCATGTACCTTAGCTGAACGAAGAAGGTTGATCAAAACCTTGCGAGGAACATGACCAAACTGACGGTGCAAACGTCTCACACCAATGCGGACTCTCTGAGGGCACTGGCGACGCTCTCAGACTCCTCAAGAGGTAGTCCTGGGAGGTCTCCTCCTCGATCAGCTCAGGAACAGGATTGATAGTTCCTACACCTTGCTCTCCTTCCACAACATCCATGGTTGGAAGGTGCTCCACACGTTCTTCTTGCACGAAAGCGGGGAATGCAGTAGACAGCAAGTCCGTCGCTGTCAAATCATGAAGCAAATCTTTCAACCGCGAACTATGTCTGAAGACAGTGCATGGTGCATTGTTTTGCCTTGGCTCCAATCTTCAAAGCTCTTTGAACCTTTGGACTTGTTCATCATTGCGTGTGAAACCCAAATGGTCAGTCATGAATGGGATCTGAGGCATCACATGTTGCTCCCATCTTGTAGTATTGCATGAATCGATATGCAAGTCGGGTCATCTGACTCGGCATGCATCTCAAACCCGTGGAGCAATCTTGCATGTCCTAAAGGGATCTCATTTCCTGAGTACCCAATAGCAACCACAATGAAATCATGCGGGGCGAAAATCGCCTGCCAGTCAATTCCTCCCGGCATACCTTCAAAGTTGCAACAGTCACAGCCGGCATTCATGACGTCGAGGCCCGTCTCCTCTGGTGCAATTGCAACGAATGCATCCGTGAGGTCTGCTTCTGGCGATTTGTTTGTTGATGGCAGTTCAAAATCATCTTCTTTGTCAATTGGTGATTCCACAACATCCGAATCACTCGGGTCCAATTCAATGGTACCCACGAATGCGAAAGGTTCGAAACATGCGAGTCTCGCAGAATGGCTTCGTTCTGCAAGCGTTCAACATGCATTTTGGAAGGAAGTCTCGCGCAACATGCGCGGTTGAGAGATAGCGGACGCACGAAATGTTGTGTTTTTCAAGACAAAGGGTGGCTCCAAACCTGGCAAGTCAAGCTCTGCGGAACGACGTTTGCGGGATGGTCTCGCGTCATGCTCGGATCATGCTCGGATCATGTTCGAATCGTCCCTCCATTGTAACTAGAGTTTTCACATGTTTCTTGTGTGCGTGCTGTTGATGGAATTCCTTTGCGTTTTGCAACTCCTGGATGGTTTCCGCACTGTAAATGTGACTGCAAGTATTGCTGGTGGATGAGTTGCCGCTGGAATTTCATTGTGTTTTGCAATTCAGGATCGACTTCGGTGCGTTGCTGTGAACCACCGATGAAAAGCAAAAGAAGAAGCCACTGCGTGCACAGTGCCACTGTGTGCACAGTGCCAGAGCGAGTACGCCGTTGTGGGCTGCTTGCGCGACGCCGTCGTTGCGGGCCCGTAAAAAAGGGGGTCCGCAGGGCGTGTGCGAAGGGACACTCCATGACACTCCTATAGGTCAAACTGTTCTTATAGGAAACTTCGCCGCCGGCTTGCCCGGGAACTGCTTGTACCATGACGTTCCATGAGGATGTCACGAAGATCATCTTGCATCATGACAGGAGGCCTCAAAAGGAAGGTTGGCTGACTCTTCTCACGTTGCCCAACTCGAACAGCCCGAACAGGGCCAGATTGTGAATCCCCCGAGTTACCCTCTGGACTTGGTCTTTGACCCATATCATTGGCTTGGTTTGGAACAGTGGTCGTGCTTTCGGCCTCTGGTGTTTCGACGTGTGTTTCTTCTGGACTTTTTGGATTCGGTTCGGGGCCTGGCGTCTCTCTTCCGGCGAACACCAAAATGAGACTCGCCTGTCCACGCACTGCCTTCCAAGTGCATGTTCTGCTCAGCTGGTTTGGACAAAGGATGATGCACGAAATGTTCGTTTGCGTCGGACCTCTTTGTCAATCTCATGTCATCAAATTGGAACCCTCGAACGATTGGATCGCTTGCTGAAGGCCAGAAAGTCGTTGTTCTCTCTTGACAGTGCACTCGGACTAGCGTGTCTCCACGCCATAGCCAGAAATCATCGTCAGGCTTTTGACTAGCAGTCGAGGACGCTTGCAACTGCTCAGGCCCTTCCTGCTGAGTCAAATCAACATACTGGGAACCGAGCTCCTTTGGATTGGCTTGGGCAATGAGCGCACTGAGACCTAAGAGTTCCCTACCCTCAGTGTGGGGCCAGCAAACGTTCTTCGGATGCGACATGTCGAAGATGTTCTGGAGCAACTTTGAACATGTTGCGGCGATGATGGACCATGAAAATCCTACCTATTCGACCCAGGACGGCTGCAGTACCGAACCGCTTGTCACCTACAACACTCATATTTCTGAGAATGCCAGTAGGCTACATAATCTCTTGGCAAAAACTCTCGTTCTACTCTAGGCCTGGCATTCAGGGCTGAGCGAAGACTTTGATCATCCTGAGCCATGACTATAGTGCTGCTCGGGCATTCGGATGGACTGTGATCGAGCAGCCTGGTCATCATGCAGTGCTTGCGTTCCGGCAACAGGACATGGTTGATCTTGGATCAAATAAGCTGGCACTCTGGGATTTCGAACGAAGGCCAGTTGACAAGGAGACAAACCCTTTTTGGTTTATCAGCTCATTTTTTGCATTCATGGTTTGCAAGACACATTGTTCATAATCTTGTTGATTCTTAGGTTGCGCTTGGTCCAAAACCTTGGTGAGAAAGACTTCGAACAAACGGCCATGCCTCTCAACCTTTCCTAGTTGGTTATGAGCTTCGGCTGCAGTGGAAATGACCCTGGTTCCTTCTCGTTCTAATTGATGAAACACAGTCTCGGCAGTGTTTGTCCTGGCTGGGTAAACAACCACCTCCACACGAACGCCCGCCCATTGCTGCCAACCACGCTGGTAGCCGCTGGTACAGAGTTTTCAACACATCAGCGGTTTCTTGTGCGAAAAAGGGAATAACCACTTTGAAGGAAGAAGCAAAATCAATCACGTTCATGCTTTTGATCTTTTGTCCCTGCTTCATTCCCGGCAAAATCTTCACGTCCCATCCGACGCGTTGGTGGAACTCTGAAGCATGATTTGGGGCAGCTGGAAGACCGGAGTTGGCTTCTTCCGTTGGCAGCAAATTTCACGCGAGGCCTCGATGTCTGCAGCAAGACGGATCGCCTGCTCTGCCTCCAGCATTTTTCAAGATGCGTACAAGGTCTTGACTGGAGGGGTGGCCCACGTTAGCGTGCGCACGCTTCAACAGGGTTTTGATTTTTGTGGACTCAGTCTGAGAGCTCACGGCCAAAATTTCGTTTTTGCTGCGCCCTACAGGTATCACCGGCGGTTCGGCCTCAGAGCATGGTTCACTGTTCTGTTCCTGCAAGGCGGCAACATAAACCCTTTTCTGGGCAAACGCGCTGTAACCAAGTCTCAACAAAACCTATCTCCTAAACAGTGACCGGCAATCAGGCGATGCTCTGAGTGGCCTGGACAAGTGGCGGCCAGGTCCAGACACGGCTAGTCCAGTCGGCTTGCGCACAGGAAGGCCGCTGTCAGGATCTTTGAGCTCATAGGCGCAGGCAGAGGTGGAGTTGCTTGGATCGAAGCAGCTTCTGCAGTGGAGGAGACTCCCGCAAATCACTGCTCCATGGATGTTCCAGCAAAACACGACCTCCTCGTTTGAGTTGATTTTGATTTGCTCCACACAAAACTGGGCTTGTTTCTCAGCATGTCTCTTGTTTGCCAACTGTTGCACCATGGGTAGTTGGTGGCGATTGACCACCCCAATGCTTGCATTCTGGACTGCACACCAGGAGTTCTGGTTTGGCTTCATCAAGCTGAGCACTCACTTCTGCCTGCTGTTTGGGCATTGTCAAATCCCAGTCTTTTTTTGATGTCATAACTGAGGCCTGGTCGACCCCACTCTTGTGCCTTGGCTGCAAAGCGTGGTGGTGAGAAGAGCTCAGCCACAGTGCATGAACTTTGGTTTTTCGTCCATGCCTCGCTTTGGGCTAAGAGGCATCGTTGTTCTCGCTGGCTCATGGTGTTCCAGCGTTCCGGTTGACTTGTCCAAGCAGCCATGGTCTCACTTTCCTAGGCCTGAGGTTGAAAACTTCCTTCAGGCAGTCTGCTAGCCAGTCCTGTTTGGGCTGATTGGAAAACGCTCGTCCAGGGCTGCCCAAATGTACTTGTCTCCATTTTCTTCTTTCAACTTCTCTAAAAACAGGTGTTCGACCGACTTGAGTGCAACACCGTCGAGGAGGCAGAAAACAAAGGCACCTTGCTGCACGGCGGTCATGTCCTGTGTGGATGCCATGCGAGCTTCAACCCACAACTTCCAGCGGCGATATTCACGAGGATCGAGGTTCTCCCCACTGAGCCGCCGGTTGTTTCCAAACCCAGTCGACGTGTCTGAGGCCATGGCGACAGCAACAAGTGGACACTGCTGTCAGTCTCCGGACGTACCACGTCAGACTACCCCGGATGCCCTGCCTTTGGCAGGGCTCCGCTACCAATTAGAAAACACGGGCCCCTTGGCCCCCAGACGCTCCTGCGTCCACCCAGGTGGCGGCTCGCACCTGTTTTCTCCTGAACATGAGTCGCGGCATGGACACTGCTTTCACACATGTATACACAAACAAGCACCCTCGCCCAGTACAAATATGTACAAAATGTAATGTGAGCGTCCGCCAAAGTTAGTCAATGGTGGTGCAAAGCTTCTTTGGGGCGAGTTCCGCGCAAAACGCACTCACGGATGAACATGCTTTCAGGATGGGGTGACTTGCAGCTTTTGACAAAACTCTTCGGCATCGCAACAGCTCTTCCACTGCCTTCGACTGCCATATGTCCTGGGCGGTCTGGTGAGTCCAGAAGACTCCACATGCAAAGAGCTTAGAGCGTTTGCTTTTCACTCCATGCCCAGCCACAATTCTTTGTCACTTGGCATCGCTCCGATCTATTTTTTCCCGACCACTGCTGGTATATAAGGTCAAAACATTGTGAAACCCGATCATATCTGCTAGGCTTTGTGGAAAAAATGCAACAACTTCAACGAACAACATAACACACGCGAAGGATTGATTCAACCAATTGATTGCAAACAAAGAATGTGAACATCAACGAGAAGCCCCAGCCACTGCCGTCGCCCGGGAAGAGGAACTGGCAAGCCCAACTCTTTCAAAGTTGAGGCAGGTGCGTACGGCTTAACGTCCAATTCATTCGAAATTAGGGCATGCGTACGGAAAAAGCCAATCAATTCACGAAGTACAGTATGTGATGTAATCAATTCACCAAGGAGGTCAGGACTTGATTTGGCAGGCGGGTGAGCCACTTGTCGTTCAGCTCAGGGTTCTTCTTCTCAGCCTGCCGTTGCTTGAGGAGGCGGTGGCGATTCTCGTAGATGGTCTTCATCACGTACGCAAACACCATCGTTCGCTGCTGCCCCTCAGAAACCTCCGCACGGCCATGCAAAACGCGCCAGTTGTTGATTGCAACCATCGAATGCTCTGGCCAATCGAATGTACATTTGAATCTGTCTTCCTCGCACAAAGAAGCCCATCTCTTGTAAGCATTCATGTATCGCTCATATGACTCAAAAGGAAGAGCCGAGACACCACGTTTGGTCTCTGACTGCACCACCTTGAGCAATTTGCCATCTTCATCCATGGTCAACACCGGGTGAGTGTGAACTAGCTCGAAACTGAACCCCTCTGCATTTGAGTCTCGGCGGTACTCACCATTCTTGGCATAGATGCTGTTTCTTGTGGCGTGAGTCATGTTGATGTGAGAGAGCATTTCAAAGTCCTTTGGATGATGCTCCCGAAGATACTCGGCCAAAGCCAAGCCGTCGCAAACTTTGGATTTCACCGAACCACGGGCTTGGTACATGAACTGCAAGTAACCAGGAGTGCCATGATACACAGAGTGATCTGTGTGCATTGAGAGCGGGTTCTTCTGGTCATAGTCAGCACCAGCTTGCTCACCACGTGCTTGTGTATGGATCACACCGAAGCGTGTCGCACGTACTGGATGCTGATTTGGCCGCCCCAGAACATTGAACATAAAGTCCTCAAGTGGCTGGCCACAATCCTTGTGCTCAAAACTTTTGGGCTTGCCCACATCTGTGATCACAGCAACACCTGGATCCATCATGGCTTCCAAGAACTTGACTTGCATGCCTTCATCTTTCAGCAATTCTTGCCCACAGAATCTTGGCATCTGCAAACTTGAATCCCAAGGCTTTCTGTTCTTGTACATGTCATCCAAAAGAGATCCAGTGCCGGGCAGCCCGGACCCGTTGAGTTTTGGTTTTGACTTCTGGTTGAGAGGACTGCCTACATAAGGCGCGAAAGCATGCAACCAAGCAGATGGGTATTCCTCCGTCACTGCATTCTCATCAAGGTGATTCTTGAAGTTCACTGAAATCATCGAGCCATTGGAAGCAGTTTGCACATTATCCACCATGTATTGATCGGTTTCAAAAACCGTTGATGCGGAATTTCTGTAGTAGTCTTTCCCTGTGAGATTTGGATGGGAATCTTTGATCCAAGCGGTGTGAAAGCCTGGCTGGCACGCTGCACAACCCAAAAAACAAGATCGAAAGTGAATCGCAAACGAGATTGTTTGTGGTGATGCTACCAGTACTAACACCCGTTTGTATTTCCGGAGTAGTCGTCAATGTAGTGTACTTGACCCGATGGTGGTCGTAGGCCTGTGATGTGCGCACGGCCGGTCATGTAGGCAATGCAAATGCAATGTGCACACCACATCTCCTTTTGCAAATGTTTGTGCACATAATCATTCCTCTTTAGTCCATCAATAAACAAGATGGAACCCACGAACTCGGGTGCGCACACGCACTCGAAAACAAAGGGCGAAACATTGTTTGACACCCTTGTGCATTCTCGTCGGACACTCTGTAGGCGGTGCTCTTGTGGGACGCTCTTGTAGGACACTCTTGTAAAAGGGACATTCTTGTGGAAGGGGCACTCTTGCTGGACAGTCTCGTAGAATACTCCTGTGGGATGCTCTTGTGGAAAACTCTGGTGCGACACTCTTGTGGGGCACTCTTGCGGGACACTTTTGTAGGAAAATCTTGTATGAGACACTCTTGTGTGACACTCTTGTAAGAAACACTCTTGTGGGACACTCTCGTGCAGAACTCTTGTGGGACACTTTCTTTTGCGGGACACTCTTGTAGAACATTAGGACGCTCTTGTGCAACTTCACGATTTCCTGCGCTTGCCACGAAGCTTGAACTTCGACACCTCCAACACGCACAAGGTATAGCGCCTGCCACGAAAAGCGAGGACGTGAGTCCTTCATGTCTTCAGCAAATTTGCGCCATGCCACAGACTTGGAATGGTTTCGACAACTTCTGAGCACACTCACACATCCACCAAAATCGCAATTTTAGCTTAGACTTTTCTCGAAAACGCGGCTTCCCAGCAACACTCTGAAACGCAAACACTGTCACAGCGACATCCAACACCTCAAACATACCACCCTCGAAACTGTCAGTGCCATGGCGACCTACTGCGAACGGTTGCGGTCGCTACGACAACGCCTCGAGAACAAGACCCTACCTTGGCGCCCCCAGACCCCAGAGTTAAACGAGGAGAGCCCTTCGCTACGCATTCGGGAAGAAGTCCCCAGAGGTCAACCGCGTGGGTAACCGCGTGAAACTTTCACTGTGGATGAGTGGTTTCCTGGTCATGGCGGCAACTTGCGCTATGATTTAAATCCGCCCGCGCCGAAGGTGCTGAGGCGTTGTGTCGGCTCGGGTAGACTGGAAGATCAGCTGCTAGATAAACAGCTTAAGCTTGGCTTTAGCTTGGGGAGCGGGCATTTTTGCTCTAGAATGTTGTGCTTTGAGGTTTTTCAAAGTCGAAAATTCTTGACATCGTGTGTTATGCAGCTCGAGGGAGACTGCATTACCGGGCGTCTTGTCCAACCAAAACAGACAGACTGACACAGACAGAGCGAGACAGAGTGAGACAGACAGACCGAGACAAACAGACCGAGACAAACAGACCGAGACAGACCGACCGAAACAGACCGACCAAGACAGACAGACCGAGACAGACTATTGACATCGCGCGTGTGTGTGTGTGTGTCCCCTCTGGAGTCACGAGGTTCCTGCTTGAATGTTTTCGTAAATTTCCAGCAGGGGGACTGCCTGGCTTGTAACAGTGGCAGTCCAACGAAGATGTCACCCAAATTTTGCTGGTAAAGTGCTAGTGAGTTCTGCAGATGTGCACAAACGCCGTCACCCTGTCGGTTCGATCGTTCGATGGTTCTTCTAGGTTTGATGGCCGCGCTGAACTTGATGGACCTCCACCTCCTTTTCAGGTTTCCTTACCTGTACTCTTAGGAAATGGTTACCTAGGCCGGCGTGTGGCAAACCGCCTTCAGTTCAGTACGCAGAATCATAAGTGTGTCTCTCCTCGTGAGAGCCCAGGGTGACCCCGCAGAGTGGCCCCTGTGGACCCGTTGAACGGGCGTTAGTCGAATGTATCCCATGCCCGGATACAAAGCAGCTCGCAGCGAGCGTAGGTGGCCAAGGCCAAAGTTATTTGCCAAGACTTGCTGAACTATTGAGTTCCAAGCTGGCTCATGCCTATACGTGACCGTAGCGGTCTAAGCAGCCAGCCATTTTGGCAGGGCACAAGGTGACCAGAGCGGTCAAAGTATTTTGGAACCTGTCGGAATCTAATCCCCTTCCTCCCCCCACCCTCTTTCTCTTCGCTCTTCGCCTGTTGGAGTGTTCCTGAATGTAATACTCAGGTCACCCCTCTCCCTGGTGTGTCCCTGGACGCTTGTTCATAGCTGGGAACACCTGTCCTCTTCCTTCTCTTTTCACTCTCTTTCTCTCTTCTCCTCCCTTTCCTTTCGCTCCTTCTTGTTTGGGTGTGCCTGGATGCTTTCGTCATAGCTGGGAACCCTTCTCCTCTCTCCTTTTCGTGTGTCCTTGGACGCTTGTGTCGTAGCTGGGAACACCTTCTTCCCCTTTTCTTTCTTCTTTTTCTCTCTCTAAACCCCCCCTCTACCTGCCGGGACCTTAGAGTGATTGAAAAGAAACGCCTCCCCTCAGGGAGGCGAACCTCGTGTTGGAAAGTTTTCCTAAATTTACAGCACAGGGGGACTGCCTGGCTGGTGACAGTGGCAGTCCAATGAAGAGGCTGTTACAAGTCACTGATATGGATTCTGCGCGCAGAATCCACGTACCTGCTTGGTTGTGGCTGTTACAAGCTGTCAGCCAAATTTTTCTGGTAAAGTGCTAGTGAGTTCTGCAGATGTGCGCGAACGCCGTCATTCTGTCGGTTCGATCGTTCGCTGGTCGATGGTTCTTCTAGTTTTGATGGCCACGCTGAACTTGATGGACCTCCACCTCCTTCTCAGGTTTCCTTACCTGTACTCTTAGGAAATGGTTATTTAGGGTGTGGCAAACCGCCTTCAGTTCAGTACGCATAATCGTAATAAGTGTGTGTGTGCCCCTTGTAGTCACAGAGACCCACTCGGATTGTGAATTTGTCTTTTCCTTTCTTTTCTTCAGCAGGGGGGGCGAAGCTACCTTGCATCTGGGAAGCCAGGTCTGATCAACCTGGTGTACCTGCTTGAATTTAACATGTGCCGAGATGAGTCGTAAAGTGCTAATGCATTCTGCAGTCACGCACGGATCGCCGTCACCTTGTCGCGTTTCCGCAGTTGTCGCGTTTCCGCGTTTCCTTGAGAGGTTCTTCAGTTACTACCCAACCTGAACCCTTAGGCATTCGAACCTAGGTGGGCGTGTGGCATGCATGTGGCTTTCAAGTCAGTACGCATTTCTATAAGTGTGTCTCTCCTAGTGAGAGCCCAGGGTGACCCCGAAGAGTGGCCCCTCTGGACCCGTCGAACGGGTGTTATAGTCGACCGTATCCCCTGCCCGGATACAAAGCTGCTCGTAGCGAGCGTAGGTGGCCTAGGCCGAGAGAACTCAAACTTGTCTCATTTACTGAATTCCAAGCTGGCTTATGCCTTTACGTGACCGCAGCGGTCAAGGGTGGCAGCCTTCGGGCAGGCCGTACGTGGTCGCAGCGACCAAAGCTCGCTCAAGGTTCATTGGAACCTGTCGGGACCTTTGTGTGATGAGTTCCTCCCCACCTAATCCCGTTCCACCCGCCATGCCGCTCACCCGCTGGCTTGGCGCCGATGGAGGGCATCCCTATGGTGGCTCAAGCTGTACTACATCGTGAGATTCTTCATGCGCATGCCACTTTGGACCTCATCCTCACGATTCTTCGCACCCGCTTGGCGATCCTTTCCCCTCCCTTCTTGGAGAGAGTGACCTGTCCCCACCTTCAAGTACAACTTCGTGGCTTGGATTCCGCTATTCGACAGGCGATGCAGGTCACCCACACCGCTTTTTGCAGTACACTCATGAGTTGATGATCACCTTTGGTTTGATCCACACTTTGGATTTTGACACGAATCAAACTACGTGGTTTCATATTCGTTTCGAGACCATCGCATCCCCCAACCTGTCCCCCGACCGGACACCCGTCCTTCCTCCACTCTTCGACGACAACTACCTCCACAACGGGCTACGACCTTTTCATGGCTTCCCTTCATCGCTCCGACTCAAGATCACAGCCTCGTTTGACGACCTCTACTCGGCCCCAGAGCTACCTCGGACCGTTCTCGTTCTCGTTCACGCCTGAACCCGCGCTAGTTCCCTACTGGCCCAGTGAGTCACCCCACTATTGATGAACTACCTCACACTTTGCGTGGATTGGCGTTTTGCCAACGCTGTCTTTTTTTTGCCTTTCCATGTGATTCTTCGGCTCTAGCCTGTGCCTTTCACTCCTCATTTCATTTTCACGGTTCCCTTTATTCATGTTTCACGTATTCTTCTGGACCGGCCGGACTCTTCGGATTCCTCTCATCACCGCCATCGCCGTCATCACGGCCGCCCAGAGACCTCCAGATCCCGAGATCGTGCGCCAGCTGAAGCTGATGCTCCGGACTATGACGCTGATGACGCGGCCGAGACCCTTCCTGATTGCCACGGCTGCCCGCCGGCTGAGCCTACACCGCCTGCTCCGCCTACTCCATCGGCGTCGGCGACACTCCCTACTACACCGGCGGCTACAGCATGTTTCCGTGCCTCGACCAAATCTGGCTTTTCGACCTCGCGTTCCTCCTGGACCAGCAAGCACCCCTTGGGCACCGACTTCTCGCCCCACTTTCCCTCCCACACCACCGACACACATCAACCCCAGCCACCTCGAACCCTTCCACCCCCACCTGCACGACAACCCCGCGCACCCCCCGCGTCACGTGGATCCATTCCACCGCCAGCGACCGCCCGATCTCCTCTCAGGATCACCGCCCACGTGCTCTCCCTGGACGGGATGGACGAGATGTAAGTGATGCGCGCGAGAATCGTTGACGTGATTACCGCTCTCGAGAACGTGATCATCCTCGAGACTCTCGTGATCGTCGTTTACACACTTCTGAACGGGTCACCTGAGGCTGATCGCCGACAACATATCGGAGACATGCTCCTGCGAGACGGGATTGT